GAGGGCAGATATTGGAGGGCAGATATTGGAGGGCAGATATTGGAGGGCAGATATTGGAGGGCAGATATTGGAGGGCAGATATTGGAGGGCAGATATTGGAGGGCAGAATATTAGAGGGCAGATAGGATTGGGTAGGGACACAGTGGCGCCTCTACTAGATGAGATCTTTATTTTGATGTCCGCACATTTCTCTGCAGTTGAATCTTTGACTTTTGTTCTCCTCCTGCAGTGATCTGGAGGCTTTCCTCTGCAATCGGACCTCCGTGCAGAACACACACACGAAGCGTTCTCTGAGGACCTACATAGGCATTGGCCCGTACTTCCAAGATTACATGGATGGAGATTCTGACCCGACTGACAACAATAAATTCAGCGACTTTCACAGCAGCCGCCACTACTCCGTCTTCTACGAGGACCAGGGGGAGGAAGAGTTGGGCTTTGGGCGAGTGATAAAGAACGCCCAGGAGCATTATACACAAACCTTTGAGAATCATTACGAGTATATTATCTGCGGTGGCAATGAGAAGTTGGTGTGCACTCCGGAACCTGACGAGTTCAACCCCTGCGAGGACATCATGGGGTACGACTTCCTGCGGGTCATCGTGTGGTTCGTCAATCTCCTGGCCATCTTGGGCAATGCCTTTGTCTTGTTCATTCTGCTCACCAGCCATTACAAGCTGACCGTGCCGCGGTTTCTTATGTGTAACTTGGCTTTTGCTGACTTCTGCATGGGCATCTACCTTCTCCTCATCGCCTCCGAGGACCTCCATACCCGCTCTGAATATTACAACTACGCCATTCACTGGCAGACAGGAGCAGGCTGTAACACAGCCGGGTTCTTCACCGTCTTTGCCAGTGAGCTCTCGGTCTACACCCTGACGGTGATCACTTTAGAGCGCTGGTACGCAATAACGTTTGCCATGCGCCTGGATCGCAAGATCCGCCTCCGGCACGCCTTGTTTATCATGCTGGGCGGCTGGGCGTTTTGCTTGTTTTTGGCTCTTTTACCATTGGTTGGGATTAGCAGCTACGTGAAGGTTAGTATCTGCTTACCGATGGACACAGAAACAGTGCTTTCCCAGGCCTACATCGTCTTCGTTTTAATGCTCAACATCGTCGCGTTCGTTATAATCTGCGCTTGCTACATCAAGATCTACATCACTGTCCGCAACCCGCACTACAAATCCGGGGACAAAGATACAAAAATCGCAAAGCGCATGGCGGTTCTCATCTTCACAGACTTCCTCTGCATGGCGCCAATTTCCTTCTATGCCTTGTCCGCCATAATGAACGAGCCGCTGATCACCGTGTCCAACTCCAAGATACTTCTGGTACTCTTGTACCCCCTTAATTCCTGTGCCAACCCTTTCCTGTATGCCATCTTCACCAAGGCCTTCCGCAGGGATGTCTTCATCCTCCTTAGCAAGTTTGGCATCTGTGAGCACCAAGCTCAGGTGTATCGCGGACAGACCGTGTCTGCTAAGAACAGCAGCGGCTCCTACGGTCAGAGAAGCAACGGCAGTACCGGACAGACTTTGGCCAACGTTCCCGACTTCCTTAGAAGCGACCAGTCTGTGGTGGGAACGCAGACAGCCCTACTGGAGGACAGCCACCAGACTGTGCTGTAAACCCCCTAAAAACACATTGCAGTAACCAGTACTCATTTTGAGGGCAGGTTTAGGGGGATGAGACGTCCCGTGAGACGGCTCGGCATCATCAGAGGTGTAGATTTGGGCTGAGTTGGACATTTGATCCGGTGAGGGATTGTACGGCGTTCTGTTTAGGGGCATTCACGGTAATATACTTCAACGGGGCGCACACTGTTTGGGTTTGTGCGTTGGACGGCTTCAGGGGGCTCTACAGCAGTTTTTGGGAAATGATTACACAAGGGGTCCGGCCACCAGACACCCTGTGCAGAAAAACAACACGTTAGAAATCAAATTATGCTGATGGGTGGAAATTGAGGACGTGATACTTTCTGTAAATATCCATCACAGCTTCACCGAGACCGTCTGACTAAAAATAAACCTTTTCCATTTGTTTTACCGTCTCCAGAACATTCTTTCCCATCTCAGACATCACCTTGCCATGAAAGGCCACCTTGACTGGACGGCCACCTTGCCATGAAAGGCCACCTTGACTGGACGGCCATCTTGCCATGAAAGGCCACCTTGACTGGACGGCCACCTTGCCATGAAAGGCCACCTTGCCTGGACGGCCATCTTGCCATGAAAGGCCACCTTGCCTGGACGGCCATCTTGCCATGAAAGGCCACCTTGCCATGAAAGGCCACCTTGACTGGACGGCCATCTTGCCATGAAAGGCCACCTTGACTGGACGGCCATCTTGCCATGAAAGGCCACCTTG